CAAACTGTACATTTCCTGTGAAAACAGAAGTGTATTTTGAAAACAGACAATGCATGTAACAGGCTGAAGTTGACACGGCGTCCCAGAACGTCAACAACCAACACACCCAGGGTACCTTGGACGTCATATGTGGACGTGGAAAGTCCATGACCAAACGTGGACATGTGACGAGGTCACAGTGAGGATGAGTTGAAACAGAAGCCCAAACATTCTGAACACAGCTGCTGCCATCTTGTGTCTGTTTACATGTTGAGCCCATTAGCCGAGGCGCTAATAGGTACGTTCGGCGTCATTATCACCCCCTGAGGGGCGTGACAAAGTGACAAAGTGACGAAGTGACAAAGTGACATTATGTGATGACCCAGGAATTAGAACAGGATGTTTCACTGCAGGCAGAACAACGTGTTTCTTTCAGTCGGCGGATTTACTGACATTTTATTCATTTTAACTTCATGATTTGTGAGGAATAAAAATCAAAAACACTAATTTTATTTCATTATTTTCTTCACTGAAGTTGTGGACAGATGTGGAGGAACATTTAAATGATTCAGATTAATAATAAAGATGATTTCTGATGTTGAAATCGTCTGTTTCACAAACATGAATCATCAGTTTCAAAATGTGTCTCTGTGTTTCTCCAGAAAATGAAGGACCGGTTTGTGTTTGTGTCGTCAGAAGGAGAGGAAGATGCTGAACTCATCGCCAAGAACATGTAAGACTCCTCTTCCTCCTCCTCCTCTTGCTCATATCTGTTACTCCTCCTCACCATCATACACCTCAATTACATTTTCCTGTTTATCATCCTCTACTCATCTTCCTCTTTCCTTTTGTTCCTGCATCGCCTCCTTTCTCCTCCTCTCGTTTCTCTCCCCTCCTGCTGTTATTTTTTTTTACCTCATTATACAACTTCTTCTCCTCTTCCTCCTTCCTTATTCACCTCACTTTCCTCTTCCTCATCCTCTGCTTCCTCTCTTTCACATCTTGTTCTTCCACCTAATTTTTCCTCTTTCCTCTTTTCTCTCCTCTCTTCTCCCTCCTTCATCACCCCCCACTAATTTCCCCTCTTCTTTTTCTTTGACCTCCTTTTCCAGCCACTGTTGCTCTTCCTCACACTTTCTTTCTCTCGCCTTCTTCTTGTTCTTCGTCCTCCTCATCTTCCTCTTTCTCCTGTTCCTTCTTTTTGATGTTACTCACCTCCCCCTCTTATTCTACCTTCTCCTGTTCCTTCTGTTTTCCAGTTTTCCTCTCCTTTTTTCCTCTCATTCATTGCCTTCTGTTTTTCTTCTTTTACTTCTCAGCTTCCTCCTCCTCCTCCTCCTCTTCCTCCTCATCTTTCTTTTTCTTTTATCTTAATCTTTCTGCCTTTTCTTGCCTCCTTCCTATTTTCTTCTGCGCATTCCTCCTCTTCATTATGCTTCTTTGTCCCTACTCTCTCAAACACACACACACACACACACACACACACGCTCTTCAGTGAGTGGTTGCTATAATTAGAGCAGTGAGATGTGTCCAAGTGTTAATCAGTTGTGTGTGTGTGTGGACACACCACTCGCTGTCAGCTCATCCATCTTCAGTACTGCTCACCAGACCCGCGGGATGCC